GATCAGGCGAGACTATTTACGAGGAGGCAGTATCTCAAATTCGATCGCATCTTCATAAAAAGCGCTTCATGAAACATAATAGTCGACCCTTATATAGATTTAAGCCGAAAAGTTAATATAAGTCGAGGCCCGGGAGGGCGCAATCTCAAATTCGACATCATTTTCATAAAAAGGCGCCCCTCAAAACATAATAGTCGACCCTGATATCGATTTAATCCGAAAAGTTTCAAAAAGTCGATTCTTGGTGGGCGCTATTTCAAATTCAGCAGTATTTTTATAAAAAGTGCCCCCCAAAACTTAGTAGTCGACCCTGATATCGATTAAATCCGAAAGGTGAAAAAAAAATTAGATTATATAAAATAAAACATTTTTTTTTTTAATTACTCGTAGCGTTAAAATGTTTCATGAGTGATTTACCCATGGAGATAACATTTTTCATGAGTGATTTACTGATGGAGGAAAAATGTTTCATGAGTAATTTTCTAATTTAATCATGTCTAAGCTTCTAAGAGTGATCACTCGAGTAATTGCCCAACACTGATTGGTAGTGTCATATTAGTTTCTTTCAGGTCAGATCTTTTTCCTCTTAGGAAGCATTTTATAAATCTAATCCTAGGTGATTTAAGTCGGTCTGTAAACGAGCATCTTCGATAGAGCAGTTTGGGGGCATGCCTTTGAATACATAAAGCTTCATTTCATGATTGTCATTTTAATTTGTTTTAAATATCTGTGAAGTCCTCGTTGCTTTAAACATAAAATATAGTTTTATTCGATGAATATTTTATATTTTTTGTGACACTTATTGAAGTTCTGGCAATTAGCACATTCTCCACTCACGACATGAGTGTATGTGGCTAAAGCACTCTTGCTCAGTCTCCACTGGGTTTAGCCTCATTGACGAGGTTGAGACAGAAGTTCAGAGATCTCCTGGAGTCATGCTTTTCCCTCCACAGTTGGAGGGACAAGTCTGGCTCGGAGTTCTCTTGCCTGATCTTAAATAGTGTATATAGGTATGTATGTGTTATTTTTTATTTATTTATTTGTAGGTTATTTATTTATTGTATTTATTTTTCTGCATAATTTATTGTACATAGAGTGTGAATGTGATCTCTGCACACTATCATAAATGTCCTTTGAGACAGATTGTAATATTTTTCAATAAACAAGTTGAAAAAAAAATTGTTATACTGTATTTTCGTTAGAATCGTCTTGTAGTTTGTTTAGGAGAAATTTACCACTACTGGGGAATACAGAAGAATCTCTTATTTATATTTGTTTAAACATAGATATCTCCATCTTTGTCTTCGTTGAACAAAAATAGAAAAGATATTCTGAGTAGGTATATTGCAATAGGTTGATTATCCTAGTCGCCTCTTTGGAGCTGAATTAATATTTCCTGTCTCTTTTGAAGAGACAGAAGCAGCTTCTACTTCCATTTTATAGTAGAAGCTACTGCTCCCCCAGAAGGCATTCTTACTTGACGGATTATTCAGGAAAATAATATAACGTCAAAAGTGAAGTAATGCTCGAAATCAGTAGCGACTCTGGGAAAAACTTGACGGAGTTGCCTCTCCAGAAATTTTTCAGTCATTGATTATGTTGTTTGAGTAAATTATACAAACTCATTTATTTGCATTTTTGTTTTTATTAGATCGATAACAACATTTATTACCAAATCGATAAATATCGTTTAATTGATTAAAACAGTTCAGTTGAGTAATATTTCTTAAAATATTATGCACCGTAAATATATTCATACATTTGAATTTAATGAAATCGTACTACGTCGTTTAGACTTTAAGGCTTATTTTTACTTTCCTACCGTTACTGGGTAAGATCTGATCAAATTTCCGATGTGCGGTTTCAACTGATCTTTAAGTTTCAGAGCCTCCTGGGTCCGAAAAACACATTTTCAAAAATCAAAACAAAGAATATCTACAGTAAAACGCCTGTATGTTTAGAAAATTATATTTTTGTACCAAATCGTCCAATTCCAACGATTCGTGTTTTATTTTTGAGTAAATTACGAAATTACTTTTACTGTTATTAAACTTGATATCCTCAATTGTTCCATTACCCATCTAAACGTAATTTATGACCATCATCTACTATTTTTTAATGCTTCTCTAAAACCTGCACACTAATTTTCTCCAGTCGCATTTTTAGAGGCGGGAACCTTTCCCGCCAAATCCTCTAAAACAAAATATGACTCTGAAAATTTCTGATGAGAATGACATTGCCGTCAATTCCTTTACTACCATAATTCAACAAGCTGTCTGGACTACCTTCTCCCAAAGTAACTGCTCGAAATTTTTTAAGAACAACAGTCTACCTGAATGCCTCTTAGATCTAATCCACATGAAACGACGTGTCAGATTATTATGGCAATGTATAGAACATCCCGCTGATCGCAGCTCCTATAATTACTTTTGGAAAAAAATAAAGCGTCAATTAGCTACTTATATGTTCAAACCCTTTAGCTATTACATATTTTTGTTCTCTGTTTGTGAGAATTATCTTTAGAAAACCTCTAGAAAAATTCTAAAGCCACACCGAATTTCCCATCCCTTCCGGCGAGATGAAAGCTCCTGGGCAGCATCTGACTAAGATATTGCCTAGGAGTTCACCAGACACTTATTACGCTTCCGGAATCCTGTCCCACTTACCGTAGCAATAGAGGAATTCATCACATTACCATTCAAAGCAGTTTATCGATCCCTCGTCAAATTTCAATTACAAAAACAAAATCTGGATACGGTCTCCTTAGGATAGGATGACCCATGATCCATGATAGGGTTATCTTTCCTCTTCAAATCTTTTCCAGAACAGCCTTACCTTATCCTGAACAATACTTCTATCTCATTCCATTCCACAGGTAAAAAACCTTGGAGCCACCTTTGACCAAACTATCTCTTGAAAACAACTCATATACCAAATCTCCCGCCAGATTATATCAATCCTTAAATAATTCAATTACTTACGTTAACTCTTGCCACGTAAAGCCCGGCCACTTCTACTTTCGTCCCTTGTGTTTCCCTACTTTGATTATAGCTGTCTGGTGTACGGTTGACGCTCTGACGAACTTGAAGGAAGACTTAGATGACTTATGAACAGCTTAATTAATATTTTTGGAGGGGTCGCCAGAGACACACAGTTTGTTGAGCTAAAGTTGCTCTTTCCCCCTCATAGGTGTCAGTATTTCCTTGCTTTCTTGCTACACCAGGTTATCAGAACTCAGCACCCATTCTACATACTACAGAGTCTATAATTCAAATTAATTTGTTTCTTAGTGTCAGAATAATATAGTAATTTTTCATTTCATTGCATGTATCTACAAGTGCATCCTACATACTACACACGTTCATCTATTATGGAAACATTATACTTTTTTTTTTTCAAAATCAAGCAAACCACCCAACAGCCGGACATCCTATAAACTAGAATTAGCCTACTTTTAATTATTTCAGAAATATTTGAATAAATCCTTTCTAAACGAATCATAACCATTATAGAACCCCATAATCTTTCTTCCCATCAACTAGTTTTTCGTTCGCATTCTACTGTCCAACAAGGGAGAAGGTAGTCCAGACAGCTTGTTGAATCATGGTATTAAAGGAAATGACGGCAATGTCATTCTCATCAGAAATTTTCAGAGTCATATTTTGTTGGAGAGGATTTGGCTGGAAGAGTTCCAGTTTAGGTTTTAGAGAAGCATTAAAAGTTAGTAGACAATGGTCAGAGGAAATTCCGTTTAGATGGGTAATGGAACAATTGAGGATAACTGATTTGGATAAAGAAATCGAGGATATCAGGTTTTATGAACGTAAAAGTTTACGAAATTAGTCGTTTGATCCTACCTCTCTCACCGCTCCTTTCGATTTCGCTGTAGAACAGAATTTTTCAATATCTATCCAGTTAAAGTCGGTATCACCATTGGTGATTAATTCCAGTGACGCAGCTGAGAGAGAGGCACAGAGATCTCCTAGAATTATGCTTTTATGTAGGAGATATCGTAGAATTATGAATAAATATTGTATATTGTAATTATGCATGTACTTAAGTTGTTATTTTGATAAGTTTTAGTTTTTTTACGTTTGTATATCTACATATGTATATATTTGTTTTTTTTTAGTTTTATTATTTTATTTTATTTATTTTTATTTATTGCATATAAGGTGTGAGTGAACTCTTGTATCACTATTGCTAAATCTCTTAGCTGTGACAAAATGTAATACTACACAATAAAGAAATGCTTTTTTAAAAACATATAAAAATATGGATTGGAAGAGGCTCTATATCAATGTAGCATATAAATATTTATATAGATTTTTTTCTAATGGAATATCCATAGAGATCCTTGAAACCAGCCTACATATATAAAAATATGTTATTCGTTCGCTTTTAAAAATTATAATTACGTAATAATAATTAGCACTGAGTATGCAGTAAAAATTATATGTTTTTAAATCAATTTTTATTGCATACAGATAATATTCTCTATTATTGTTAATCAATATATGTATATGAAGCTATATTTTATTATTCTGTGTGTTCATGACTTAATTTTTGAAACCCAGTTGTTCCATAAATAATATCGGATTATAATATTTAGGCATTGATCTTCAAAATTTTAGCTGGTGTCCTCTGTACTTAGTTTTGGAAGTAAATGGAATACCACTACAGTTTTTATAATTTTTAGTCTTTTATTTACATGCCTTGAGTTCCCTCTGTGGTTTATATTCTTATTCATTAATAGTCGCCATAGCTTAATCACCACACTTAGATGAAATTATTTCTGATAGTTTTTAGTAAACGTTGTAATAAATCTTCTCAATAGTCTATAGAAATTACTGATTAAATCAAATACATTTTAGCACTTGTTGGCAATTTTAGTTTAAACATGATCCCCTTTGAAATGTGATGAGAATGAAACGTTAGCAAATATATATATATATATTATAAGTTAAATATATTTAAGTAGTACAAAAAATAGATCCAATACGTTAGGCTTTATATAATATATACGTAAATAATACAGAGCAATAAAATTTTACAATTGGTAAAAATTATGCCTTGGGTGTCTTGCTACAAGCTTCAACGGTTCCCTCATCTACACAAGTGAATTGTGTACTATCGTAGGCTAATCCAGCGGGGCACTGGCGCTTTTCTAGTTTCGTAATCTTGTCTCCGGGATTGAGGTAAATGGCTTTGCAGTGATAGTAAAAATGGCAATCTTCAACATCTGCGATGTTAATGGAGCTGTATCTATCACAATCGGGAGCGCACAGTTGGCTTGTGGTGTTGAGTACATACATTTCAGGACAGACATTGACCACGAGGGGACCGGCATTGGCTCCTGCTTTGTTGCACAAGGCGTAGTAGTCGACGAACAGGCCGTGCTTGGCCTTCTTGACGGCGCTGTTGGTGCAGTCGAAAGAGTTGCAAGTTGTCTCTGCAGGGTCATCGCACTGCTGCTTGATAGGGTTGAATACTTTCGTGTTAGGATTGCACTCAAATAGTTTGGCTGTGTAAGTATTGTCGCAGTAGTGGAAGCGATGACAATTCTCATCAGGAAAGTAATGGTTATTCTTCAAACAGATGAAGTCATCTGTTTTACCACATCTTGGTGGTTCCTTTTCAGTGCAAGTTCCAGAGTCTGCGTCACACCAAGGTCTCACGGCCGGGCACCCTGATTCCTTCAGAACGACCAGCTTTCCGGAATTGTCGGGATGGCATACCCTCACCGTATTGCAGTCCTTGCAAGAGAAAATGGATGGGCATTCATCACCATCTCCCAGAGTAACCGCCCTCGCCCACTTTGAAGGCAGCCTCAGTCCGTGGCAGACCTGCAATCAGAACTAATCTTGAGGAAGAAAAAACATACAATTTTTTTCAAATTTGCTTAAAGAAATATTAAAAGTCACGAATGATATGTGAGAATATTCGTAAACGTCTGCAAAAAACAATATCTTCCAAATTACTGAATTGCCTTCTTGTCTTAAATAATTTAAATAAGATGTCATAAAAGTTAGATATTACTAGTCATAGAATTTGAGGCTAAAATTATAAATTATTTATTGACTTCATTTGTATTATAAAAAATAATTATAGATCGTTTTATGCCAATCCTCAACAGCGTTATAATACATATTTATCTGTTTCTTATGCATTTTTAGCTTATTATTTTTCAATGGTGATAATACCGATGGGCTATTTAACAGATAACAGTTGTGAAACTGCTTAACCTAAGACTACATCAATGTTTTGAGTGAAAATCAAATCAAATACATATGAAAAATTAACTGTTATCAAAAAACAAACTAAAATTATTGAAATAACATTTTTTTTTCACAATTCTGGACATTTACTACTGCCTTCATGCAAAAAAAAAAAAAAAAAAAGTAAATGTGAATTACATCGTTATCTTTCATTAATTAATAGATATCTATTTTTCGCTAAATTTGAATCAATTGTAATATTGAAGTATTTATTGATAAGTTTATTAGCTACGTAAAAATGAGAGTTGAGGTTCATTAATACAGAAAGTACATTTATTATATGAAATAATAAAATTTGCATTTATAGGATTAGTTTAGTTTGAAGGTCGATATATATATATATATATATATATATATATATATATATATATATATATATATATATATATGTTTTTTTTTATTTTAGAGTAAAACTCATATAATCGTTTTTTAGGAAACACTAACAATATTAACATTATGACAATTAACTAGCGTCAAAACGTTGAAATTATTAATTCTTTTGGTATTCTAGCCTCCATATACCATAAAATTTATACGTTTAGAAAAATATTATTTTTTAAGAATCTGGCTCTAAGAATACTTAAACTAGTCAAATAAATAAACTTTAGATTCGAAATTTTTCTACAATACGTTTACATGAATAAATCACCATATAGTTGTGATTGTAATATATATATATATATATATATATATATAAATCATGATAGATTTGTGATTATAATATATTATTCAAACGGAACAAACACATTTATTTATTTTTACTTACAGTTACAGTAAAGAGAAAAAATGCTGCGATGTACTTCATTGTTGCTGTGACTAACTTTGCCTTTGCACTGACAAAATCGACCATCTATCGGTACTTATAGGTTCAAGTAACCTATCAGAGATTGATGATAACACGTCATTGAATGATAACGAGATAGAGAGAACAGCCCGCGATATGAAACATTTATCAAAGGATTATTAACACTGCTAAATATAAATATTTTATTCACGATGACGTATAGTCCCAAAGGCGAGAGTGCCATAATTTCTGTAAAGACGGCAAAAAATGGTTCGTTTCGTATAAAATGTTAGTTTTCATAGGAAACGTTATATAGCAAAAGAACCTTATGAAATCAAAACATTTTATTCAAAATATTTACCCTCATTTTCTATACATTTTCTCCAACGTTTATCAACTTTCCAATCCCAGGACTAAAACATTCGGGGTTTTGCGAAGAAGAGGATTCAGAAAATGCTTTTTTGACTTTGGAATAATTTTCAAAAATTTTAAGTTTAAGGAAGTTTAAGTGAACAGAAGGAAATAGATCTGTTGGAGATAAATCTGACGAATAAGGTGGGTGTGGAAGGACTCGTTACATAGCTCGTTTAGTTTCTTCAATGTCTGCCATGAAACGGGTTGGTGTTGTCATTTAAGACTGTAGATCCCTTCTGATTAACCAAGATGTTGATGCGTTACAAGTGCGCGCTCAGTCAATGTATCCGAAAAATGTATTTTGTATTATTATATCTTGTTATTGTATAGTAAAATACTCAAATTTTAAATTTCAAATATGTATATACATTGTGAATACTTTTTATTAATAAAGTTTAATCGCGATTAGATATACTGATCAAAGTTTTTAAATAACACGATGTTTATATTTGTATACAATTATATGTTTAACGATATTTATATTCGTATTTCGTACTCAGCAACGCGTCCCATAACCGTAATTCTTTCTTTCTCTCACTCCACCTGCCTAATTTTACATAATACAGGCTTTTATTTATGATATTTTCTCTCATTTTGAACCACATTTCATCTTATATTTCAATATGACAGTGTGAAATATTTTTTTATCCCAAATATATTAAATTATATATATATATATATATATATATATATATATATATATATATATATATATATATATATATATATATATATATATATATAATTATGAATTTAAAAAAATACAAATCTACCTAACTCCGCGTACTTTTGGTTAAGCAATCTAAATTTGTTACTAAACAATGTAATAACCTGTAGTTGATTTAACTAGAGAAAGATATGTTGACGGTAGCCAAAGTACTGACCATACTTGAACAACTTGAAGGATGTGGTTAGGCCTGGCAGTTGCCAAAGGCTAACACTAAAGTAACTGTCAAATATGGCATATAGTTTCGCTTAATGTTTCATTGGATTACGAATTAGAGTTCTGGAATTGATTTGAAAATCACACTTTACGAATAATATAAATAATGTGTATATGTATATTTATAAAAAAAAAAAGTAAGAAAACAAATAAATTAAGCAGCTTTATGAGCATTATATTCTTGTAGAACAGAAGTATATATACATAATTGGTAATTGGTTAACTGTCATGGATAATGAATAGAAGAATAGTTGGGGTGTTCAGTCAAAAAGGAAGGCAAAAATAAATTATAATATTTATTTTTTACATATGCCGACGTTTCGACCTGAAGTTCAGGCCTTCATCAGGGCTAAGAAAATAACCAGATAACAAGGTATGAGAAACATAAGTAATGATGGTAAAAAAGATAATAAAAAATAAAAAAAAAATATTAGAAAAATAAAATAGATAAATATAAAGTTAAATGAAATTGTTAGAATAATGACTAAGAACTAAGAGATAAATAATAAAAACTGTTACAAAGTGTGGAATGATGAAGGAGGCATAATCAAAAAGGAGTGACAAAAGTGTTACAATGGGAATCTTAGAATAAAATGTAAAACATAAAAAAGAAATATAAAGTTATATAAGAAATGAAAATAAATAGTAAAATTAAAACATTGAGAATGGAGTAGTTAGACAGAAAATTGAGAAGTATATATATTTCTGTTCTACAAGGATGAAAAAGTCTAATCTGTAAAAAATCTGAAAAGTTCATAAGAGAAAGATATATATATATATATTTATATATAAAGCATTAATTGTCAAACAAGACACTGAAACTTAATAGATGGTTGGCCATTTTAGAAATAGAAAATAAACTTTATTCTGAAACGATGTCCCCTTATAATAACAGTAATGAACAGTTACAAAATAAAAATTACTTATCTGGCCTAAAACTAAACTAATAAAGATTCAAACAATTTATACAACTTAAATATACATTTTCTAGTGTATTTGTTAATACATATTGGAATAGAAGGATTTTAAAGGGAGATAAGGAAGGGGCATGAGGGATTTTTAAAGGGAGGAAATTTCAGTTAGCGGAGCGGGCAACGAAGGGGTTTTGAAAACAGGCAGATCAGTAAAAAAGGGTATGAAGGTCAGAAGGTCGTGATCTTGTGATAAGAAAGTGGACAGAGGACTTGAATTGAAGAAGATCATAAGCATAAAAGGGATGATGGCTATTGATAATCTGATAAAGAAATGGGCGTAGGAAGTATTGTCTACGGAAGGAAGGGAATAGCCACCCTGAATCAGACTAGAGGTGGAAGACACGGGAACGTCTCGGGGTCCCACCGACAAATCTGACTAAGCTGTTCATAATTCTCTTCGGTCTGTCGCCAAGAGCCACTTCGAAACCACCGTACGCCAAGCAGCCGTAGTCAAAGTGGGGAAAGATGAGGGAAGAAACTAAGAGTCGTAAGAGTCTACTGGTAGGTCAGGGAAGGAGATGGCGGAAGCAATTGGATCTTTTGAAAGTGGAAATTAATCGTCGAGCGATGTGGGAAATGTGGTAATTCTATGAAATGGTTTGATGAATGAAAACGCCTATATTTTTAACTAAATAGAGGAGTAGAAGGTAATGGATTGGTCATTTAGGTATAGTGTGGGAAAGTTAGAATCGGCTCGGAACCAACGACAATGGCCTGTGTTTTTGCAGCTTTTAACCTTAATTCGTATAGGATTGTCCGGGTACTGATACTATCAAGCTCTTTTTGAATTTTGGCAAATTCTTAAAATCACTCAGAAGGAGAGAATGATAACTAGATTTGGGAATCGTCGGCATAAAGGTGGTTTGAATATTTAAAGGTTGACTTATCAAGATCGTTCATATAAGCGCTAAAAAGAAGAGGAGATATGCTAGAACCCTGGGAAACTCCTGAGAACAGAAATATATAAAATTATATATATATATATATATATAATTAGTTAGAGCATCGTTATTCTCCCTAAAATATATTTCGTTAAAGTAGTTCAGCTGATGCACGATATAGAATACTATCGTTAACCCTTTTTCTTTTTAATACTTCTCTTCAATAACTCGCATGAACAGCATTTACTATAAAAAACTATCGAGTTTTAGGTTGATTTCCTTCATCTTCAAGACGAGTTTGTCAAATCCCACATCATTTATGTCTATGTTTTGCTTTTACCTGTGGACAATTGTTTCAGTCGCAAAACGAAGTTCTGTAAAAGTTTCTGAATACCTTGGCAACATACAGTTTTACAAAAATTTTCTATCATAACATATTCATATAATTGCTCAACAAGTCAGATTACAGTAGATCGTCAAAATTATGCTACAGTGGTTGTTTTTATTGCAACACTTTACTAATATACATTAGTATACTAGTATACACTTAACACACACCGCCTAACTGCTGCAAGACCAAGATTGGTCTGGTAAAAAAATCGATTTTTAAAATAAAATTATGGGAAAATAGTTACTGATACTTGACAATCTTAGATACAATATGTAAATAATCGGTATAACCAATATACGTTTGCATTTAACACCTCTAATTTTTCATTCGGGCTTAGTTCGGTTTCTCCTATATAAAAAATTGCAGTAATATTTATAGCAATAAGCTAATAAGTAATTGCAAGACTATTGTGAAACTCTCATTTGGGCAACACTAAAAATAGCAACAAAAAACACTTACTTAACAGATTGCGTTTTTAAATTTTTTATAGAAGCTTTATATATCAAAGTTTGGATTTGATATATTTAATTAAAGCATACAGTCATCTATGTAAACTATATTTCTAGTTCTTCCTCTTTATGGCATAGACGTAAATTAGTTTTCTCTAGAAATACCGAAATACACTATTTATAATCAAATAAGGGAACTCCACTAGTGCAAAGAAAAAAAAATGATTCTTATAGATCCATAGAATCCAGTAATTTCGAACTTACTGTTATAGATCCGTATGTAAAGCAGCCCAGTTATATCTGATCTCCAGTTCTAGAGGGATAAGATTTCAAAACTATTGTTGTCAGGTTAAAATAAAACGCGTAAATAAAATGAACTCTACTAGTTGGAAAATTAACCAACAAAAAAAAACAAACAAAAACAGTAACGGATAAATATATTGTAGTTTTTAATTCATGTGGCGAGAAATCAGGTTTTATTCATTGAGATTTATCAGTAATATTAGATATTTGCCCTATATGGAGTTTTAGGACTCAGTAGGCTCTGAATTTCAAAAATCAGTTGAAAAATGCTCATTGAAAATTTGACCTAAATACAATGATTTACTTCAAGACTACATCATTCCTAAGCCCGTCGCACAATGGGCTGTCAATCTAGTGGACAAAATTCAAAATATCCATAGCGAATATTTTTGAGTTACGTAACATAAAAAGGATACTTATAACTGTGTATTGTTAGAAAAACAATATTTAGACGAAATAATATGTGTAAAAATCTTAACTTAGCAAATGTTCAATTGCTATTTGTAAATATTGAGCTAAATAAGTTAGCTGTTTTAATTTTTCCAGAAATGCATTCTGTTTCAAAAGATGAGTGTTTTAAAATATTAATATCAATATTATGAAAGTTTCGCTATTTATCTGGGGAAAAAAATAAGTTTTCCTTAATTATCATTAGATAAATTATTTTAAGATGCTATAACATTTTTGGAACCTACATAAATATTTAGGAAATTCTAGTTTCAGTAAAGATTGTAGTTAACATATTTAATACTTTTAGATCTTGTTTTTTCTGGCTTTGGAAATTATAAAATTTTTA